ACAAACTAAGAGTTGTCCATTACAGTCACGAGTTTTTCTGTATAATTTTGGGGTCCCTTTGGGGTATCCGCCTTCCCCCATTTACAACCCTCTGTAATAAACTGTTCGTTTGCTGCTAATTTTGTTCAGTTTTCCATCACCTTTACTGAACCTGCCCCTGAACGACAAAACGTGGTTTAAACCATCACACTGTGTTTTTCTTGTCTAAGGAAATTTCATTTCTTGTTTAAAAGTCTGTTAGAATGGTTTTGGTAAAGAATTCTATGAACTCATATCTGTACATAGTAATGTTAATCTGAGAGTATTCAGAAAATCTGTATGATATGCTGCATTCTCAGAGTTTGAAAACACTGATTTTTATTTTCTTTTTTAAAAAAAAAAAATTTCATATGTATCGTTTGTGTTTTAGGAACTAACAATAGTGTGTGTAGTTATGATAAGGAGTATAGTCCTGCAGATAATCTCATCAGATAGTGGGGAATCTTCTTTACTGAATTGAAATGGTCCCCACCTTTATTCCAACAGAGACTTGGAAGGAAAGGATAAATTTAGGATTAAAGGTGTTTGTGTTTACTCTGTAGATTAGCATGTGTTCAATTTTGGTCTCAGAATGGGTATTTTAAAGTAATACAGGACAGGCTAGAGTCCAGATAAAGTAAAACCCATCTCTGGATTTATATCATCAATTTTCTGTTTTTCTGCCTGAGTTAGACATTTTGTGCTCTTATTGTGCATGATATAGAGTTGCATGAGAGCCATGTTGCAGAGTGTACTAGCTTAGGTTCAGCGCAGCGAAAATAGAGTGAGCTGCGACTTGGAGGCAGTGAAGCTGTGTCCAGTGGTCCAGAATTAATAACTCATGCTGAACACAATCTGAGAGTGAGCCCAGAGCTTCGTAAAGCTGGTTTTGGGCCATCAAGACTATCTGCTATGGCTCAGTGCCAATATCCTGCTTTAATCCTCTGACAATAAATGGATGGATATCTCTATGTGGTAGTATTCATGACTATGAGAGGGCTTATTCTCTCATAGGTTTATTCTGTGTCTACAGTAACACTTCGTTCTGGAGTTTTCAAGAAGGTTGTGTGAAGGTGGAGGTGAAGCACCTCTGTTATCTTGAATCTTTCAAAATACTCCAGTTTTCCATTTCCCTGGGTAATGTAATTTACTGTATACATATTTATTTTATTTTTTTTTAGTTCCTACTTTACACCCCTGACTTTCTTCCCTTGACTCTCAGGGAAGGTATACTGGGTAAAACAGTGTCTGTAGAGCAGGATTTCTGAAGATGTTGAGTTTAAGGTGCTGAGATGTTGGGGGCATCTGTAAAGCTTTGCTTTTGTGAAGGAATAACAGTGAAACTAAGCCTAGCAAATATACTACAAAGAACATGTCCTTGTATCTTGTGAAATTTAGGGAAACTCAGAGTACAGTGGGTCTACCAGACTGATGCCCAAGACAGGTTTCTGTACTGATCTCTGCTTTTCAATGCATTATTTTTAGAATAAACATCAGTCTTTGGAGACTAGATAAAGAGCAGTGTAGTAATGAATATCTTCACCTTGCACCTTTTGGAAAACGGTATTTTTTTCATCTTGATAACATTAAGATGTAGAGATACTATATTTCAGAAGATTGGGAGGAACTTTTGCTTCCTAGTTTAACAATAGATGTTATTGTTTTAATGAAAAATATATTTCAGATTGAGTATCTTCAGCAAAAAAACAAAGAACTTGAAAATCGCATTCAAGACCTCGTGGACACGAAACAAAATGTGACTAGTGAGGTAATGGATTTAAGCAACAAAAATGAAGAACTGTGTCAAGAACTGAATGAAATAGACCACTTGGCACAGCAGTTGGAAAGACACAAGGAGATTGTGCTTGAGACTGCAGATAAGGAAATAGGAGAAGCAAAGGTAATCAATGTGTTACAGTGTGAAGGATCTGCTCAGCTCTTAGGTGGTTTTATATCTTTCAGTTGCAACAAATGACCTGTCACCCTGTAAAGGAAGATTCAAAGATGTATTTTTTGAGTTTACTTATTATTATATAGAATTTCTCACTAAAAGATGATTAATCTCTTTATTAGGTGAGATTAGTTTAGTGGCAGTCTGCCCTCTCTCTTCTGTTAGCTTAATGAAGTAAAATTCTGAGGTACTTAAAACTCTTGATAGGTAACAGATATTTGCAACAGTATTGCCTGTGTTTGGCATTTTTTTTTCCTATGAGGAGTCAGTCATGCAATGATTTATTTAATTGTTATACTCCAAAAGATTATGGCTGTGTATATCACACAAAAGATTATGGCTGTGTATATCACACAAAAGATTATGGCTGTGTATATCACAAATCTGTTCTTTCAGTTCATAGGAGCTTTACTACTTAAAGTTGGCAGATTACAAGGAACTAATGATACTTTAAGAAAACAGACTATTTTTGTAAGAAGTAATATTTTTGTAACAAAGGAATTATCATTTTGAAGATGTAACTTTTAACATATATGTTACTTTTGGTCCACAGAAAGAAATTGAAAGAAAACATGGTGAAATAAAGGATCTTGAAGAAACAATAATAAGGCTTAAATCAGTAAGTAAAAATACTTCCAGTTCTTGTTTGTAGCATTTTTATCATAGTCATTCACATGATTCTTTCATTTATTATAAAAATAAACAATAGACAAGAGAACTTTTATAGTACTCCAAAACTCCCTTGTAATAAATTACTTATTAATAAATTAAAGAGCTAAAGAAACTACATCATATTGTTGCAACAACAAACTGAAAGAAGCCCCTGTAGACAGCATGGTTGACTATGTCCTTATGGTACATCTCCTTAATTTTACTATCCAAAGTTGTAGTTTCCATGGTGTAATCATTTTTACCACCAAAAAAGTTATGACATCCTAAAGGATGTCCTCATCTAAAAACTGCTTTGTGTCTCTAATCAGCATGTGAATTATTATGCAATATTTGGCTCACTTGGAAACGAAGCATAGTAGCCCAGATTAAAAATGTCAGTAATACCAACTCCTTGATGACCAAACTCTTTCCAGCATAGAGCAAGTTGTATATTAGTTAAGTACAGTGTTTTCTTTTAGTATTTGTAGTGAATTTGGAAATAAAAAAAAAAAAAAAAATCTGTTTTTGGGGAACCAGGTTATAGGAAAGACGTGCCAAATAGCATTTGGTTAGCTGCAGGGTTGAGTTGGCCGAGACAGTATTGTGATGTACTTTAACACCAACAGTGCTACTAAATGCCATTAAAAATCATTTCTTGTTTTAGTTATTGATTTTTTTCCATGTTTGTATCACACTATCCTTCTGGTTGGTTGCTGGAATTAAACAAGGGTAGTCCTGCTTGGTGGTTACTGATTGCAAGCTGTGTCAAAAGTAATGCTTATTTGGATGTAATAAAAAGTAACATAAAAACAACAATGGCCTTTAACAACTGTTAAAGCATAAAACATCCAGGTTAAAAGAAACAAACAGTGTCGAATAATCAAAATTTAATGATAATTTTTTTTTCAAAATGTCTCGGTTGGCACTTCTAATTTTTCTAATAATACTTGTTACTTCAGGAGTTGTGCTCATGTCGTAGGGAGAATGAGAGGCTGAGTGAAGAACTCTTTGGAAAAGCAGATGATAAAGAGAATCTTGAACTGTTGTTGAACCAGCTTGAACAGGAGAAACAAAGGCTGGCAGAAAAAACAGAGAACTTAGAAATAAAAGGTAAATCATTAAGTGTAGATTTCTGTAAATTATCTCCGTATAATTTTTGAAATAGAAAACCGTACCTAGTTAAGATACAGTTAATAATACTAGAAGACTTAATATATATAAATTAAAAGAAGACTGTAGGTCTTCAGTCAGAACTGAAGTGAAAACTTTGGTCACAGAAATATGTTTTCATTCTGTATGTGAGAACTGAAAGTGGAGCTTTTTACTGTGATCCCACAGGACATCCTGATACTAAACCAATGGCAGTTTCATACAAACTAATTTCTTTTGCCCCAAACTGGTTTTATTCTCTTTATGAGTGAATTCAGACTGTTTCTTGAGAGCTTTAGCCAGCTGGATCTTGAAATCTTCCAGGGATGGAGATTTCAAATCTCTAAGCAACCCATTCCAATGTTTGTTTATCCTCTGAGTCAATTTTTTTCCACCTTGTATTGTTTGTAATTGCCTGTAGTGATTGATCACCATTGTGTCTTGTTTACCTGCCATGCACCTCTTTGAAGAAACTGGCTCCATGGTATCTGTTAAACCCCTCTTGGTATTGTCAGTCTGCTCTTGGGTTCAGTTCCCTCAGCCATTCCCCACAGGGGAAGTGCTCTGCTCCCTGACCAGCTTGGAGGGCCTCCTGTGGACTCACAGAAGTGTACCGACATCTTTCTTGTGCTGGGGGCACAAAAGCAAGCACAGTACTGTAAATGTGGCCTGAGGAGTGCTAAGTAAAGGGGACTGGGCACATCCCTCAGTCTGTGTGCTTCCACTGATACAGCTCAATATGCTGTCAGGCCTCTCCTTTCCAAAGCGCACTAGTCCCTCTTGTTTAGCCTGCTGCCAGCCAGGACTCCTACCTCCTTTTCAGCACACCTGCTGCCCAAACGGTGGCTGGGAGTTAGTCCGTCCCAAATGCAAATGTCTTTGTGGAAATTCATGAGGTACCTCTATGACTGTTTTTATTTCTTTTCCTGCAGAACGAGAACTTGTCCTAGAAATGGAAAGAATGAAATTAGAATATGGTATCGCCCTGGGAGACAAATCTCCATCTCGTCTGGATGCGTTTGTAAAGACTTTAGAAGATGACAGAGATTATTATAAGCGAGAATTAGAATATCTTCAGAAAATGATAAAGCGAAGGCCTAGCCCAAGCCGTAAGACTCCAGAGAAGGTAAAGTTCCTGCAGTCAGCACAAGCTGAAGTGTAACAGAAATACTGTAGAACCACTTCAGGAGCTGTCAAATATTTTCAAATTCAGTAGCAGTAAAGGAGTGTAGTTTTTTAAAATAACATTCTTAACATGGAAAAATAAACTGAGAGGAACACGGCTGAACTTTCATTTTATTGCCCTATTCACATTTTACAGTAACATTGATTATTGGTCAGTTTGCTTGAGATATATAAAACTAGATGATAAACAGAAAAGAAAAAGCTTGGAATCTTATTGTTAGCTGTTTGGTTTTTTCTCCTTAATAGTTCTTAATGTTTAAATTATACTGCCTAAGCCAGTTGCTTTTTTTTTTTTTTTTTTAATTAAAATTTATTAGGTATGTTTTTTCATGTATTACTAATTCTGTGAATTCTTTCTCTTTTGTGTTAATTATCCAAATATTAGCAAATTTTAACATAAATTCTATTAATCACTTTGCAGAGTGAAGATCTTAGACTGATCACCAGAGAAAGAGATGAGCTACGGTCCATGTTAGACAGATTTGAAAAACACATGATAGACATTCAATCTAATGTCAAGTTATTGACTGCAGAAAGAGATAGATTAAATGGTCTTTATGAGCAGGTAAGAAAAGATTGTTTACAAGTAAATTACTGATTTTTATTACTTGTTAATAAAATTATGTATTCCAAAGTTAGCATTAACTTTGAAGCCATTGTAACTTACTGTACTGGCATTTGGAAATTACAAAGAACAGGAAAAAAAATCAATAGAATGCATGAGAAAGTTGTGTTAAGGACACAGGCTAGAAACCAGGGAAGTAGTTACCTGATAAAACCTGAGTTAAAGTTAGGATATACTTGGAACAGGAAAAGGATGATGAGTGTGTTGACAGTGTAAGTTGTTATGCCACTGTGTGATTTAGGGAATATATTTTAGTTGTCATGGGGAAAATAAGACTACAGTAACAATTCTGTTGTAATACAATATTAGAACTTTATTAGTGTATACACTGTGTTAATTGCAGTCCTCATGTCCTAACAAGCAAGCATCTTTTAAAGTCTCAGGGTGAATTGAACAGGATGAAAAGAGAAGCAAAACATGGTTTCATTTCAGCAAGTCACGTGGAAGAAGAAAGAGACATTGCACTGGCTGATGTTAAAAGACTAATGGCAGAAAAAGAGAGCCTCAGAGAAAAATTAAAGGTGAGCTTTTATGGCTTCATTGCTTACAGTGAGGTGACGTAAAGGGAAGGCATCTGCAGTAATGCTGTGTTTGTGTCTGGCTGTCTCTCCATTCCCCTCTTCAATGACTTCTAAACTTACTGATTTTAAACTCAAGAGAACTTAATGAATTGTCTGAATTATCCTTGTAAACTCAGTCCCTCAGTGGGTATAGCAGAAGAGAACCATGCTCTAAGTGTCTGAGGGCAAGTGCAGCACCACCTTGTGTGAAGAACCTACATATGAAGCCCCATATGGGCTGATTAAAAGTCAACATATGCCTAGATTGAATGTACAAAGACTATTTCCATAGTTAGATTTAGTATACGATGGGTCTCTGGTTTTGTGGTACCTGAGTGCAGTGGCAGTAACTCTGACCTCTTTGCTTAAAGCATGTGCATGCAGTGGAAGAGACGTGCTTCCAGCTCCATCCACTCTTCCTGAAGGTGACTAACAACATTTTGTACGTGTGCCACTTTGAAGTAGGTGCACAAAAACGCTTACCTTGGGCATTTCTAGGGAGTTACAGTATTTAGTTATTTCACTGCACTTAGGCACTGAAGTCAGAGAACGGACAAACAGTTTAAAAAAAAAATCTTCCTAGACTTGAAGAAAGACAAGTGAGCTTTGTAATCTGTCTTACATTTCATATTAAGGACTGTTTCATCAATGAATTTCAGACAGCTTAGGATGCGAGCTATACATGCTTGCAACCTTTCATATGGCCATGTAGCTCAGTAAGCTTTCTACAACAACTCATAAATGCTAATTTGGTTGCAGCAAACAGAAATAGACTTTTTCCTATTGAAAAAAATCTAACAACCAAAACAAAACCCAGTGCTGTTACATTGAACTACAGTGGTGTATTTTCTGGTAACGTTCTGTAGTTCTAGAGAGAGAGCTTTGCATTTGGTCATTCATCTAAGAATGCAGAGCAGTGTTTTCTTAAACATTAAGCTCAAATTTCTATGGTTAAACCTAAAACTGTGTAGCTTATTACATGAAATTCTTTTTCTGTCTTAGATTCAGCAAGAAGCAGCTAACCTTGAAAAATCAACAATGCAGCATGATATTTCAGAACTGGAGAAAAATATTGAAGGAGTAAGTACACTTTTAGGAAATAAGCTTTCATTCCCAAGTAGGATAGACTGTTCAAGCAATTACTTTTGTTAGCTGTTTTTCGACTGAAATTTGTTTAAAAGCCAATTTGCGATAGCTTTGCATAACAATAACATGTTTGGTTATGTTTTCTTTTTAATTTCAGTTTGAGATGGAAAGGTTTGAGCTAAAGACTACAATCTCTATCTTGAAAGAAAGAATAAATTCTTTGGAAAATGAATTAAAGTTGGAGTCCAGTAAACTTGCCCAGACATCTGATGATTCTGCTCAATTTAAAGCTGAGATTTGTTCACTTCAGTAAGTGTATAGAACGTAGTGGTCTTTTGCAGGTGCTGATGTAATTTTTTGTTCTCTGACCATAGAGCAGAGATCGCTTGGTACTGGTTTTGTCTTAAGGAAGAGCAAACATGAGTAAGGAGAGTGCTGTGGTGTCTTTTCACAGCAAGCTTTTCCAAAAAAAAGAAATAATGTTGAATAAATCTGGTGAGAAATTTGAAACTTCAGTAGTTGGGTCATGTGGAAATGAGAGTCCTTGATGAAGGAGGCGACTACAGGATAGGTAATGCTGTAGATGAGGTCTTTTGGAGATTCTACAAGGGAAAGCAGGGTCTGTGGCTCACACCCTGCACCTGCCTCTTCCACAATCTGAACGCTACTCTGCTGCACTGTACAGTAACAGGGTGGATCACTGAAGAACTGAAGCTGAGAAGTAGCACTTGGAGTTCATCTAATGTTGTCAGTTGCACAAAGGAGGCTGTTACTAAGTCAGTTAGCGTATTTGTTGGTAAAATTGTGACAACATTCATAAAAGTGATATATCACATTGGGTTCCTTTATAACTTTAGTGGTAAGCATTGACATTATAAAAAGGAGGAAATAAGGAGTAGGGCTTACAGTTATTTCAGCTTTTAGGTCTACTTTGTGCATGATGGCAGTTTTGCTGTAGCGGGGACACACACACTCTATTTCTTTCCCCTCTAAAGTTTCACTGTAAACTGAGTGAGAGTAATCTTTTATTTGCAAATATGCTGTGTTCTGGATTGGTGAGCTTTTTTTAAAGGAGAAGCTTCTCTAGCTCTTGTGGGATCTCAGTTAAGAGCGATTTTTGTTTCCTGACCTGTTTTTCAACTAATCTACTTAATTACTTGGCATTTCATTTTGCAGTTTTTCTCCTAGGTTACTCTTTCTTACTAAGCAGTACAGCTACATAGGTACATGGTTTCCATATATCTTTCAGGCTCTGTCTTTCTTAAAAGGAGGATCAGAACTGTAGCTGTCAGTTTGTTTGCTTTTTAAAATGTAGTGTAGCTAATAATCACTATTTTGAGCTCCATTTCAAAATCTTTATAAAGCGAAGAGTCAAAAGCCAGAGGTAACAAGGGTTAGAGGATGAAGACTAGCAGAACTCAGAGGAAGGGAATATTTCAGATTTAATACAGTGGTTCCACTGAGGTTCCGTTGCTCCATTTCAGAGTGGAGTTGAGGTGGACTTGCTGCAGGGTTCCAGAGCACCCAAGCAGTGTTGGCCTCAGCAATCCTTAACAGCCCTCTCTCTCCCAGGGAGGGAGGGATAGGACTGGTTAGCAGGACACAACCAACCCGTGCTGCTGGCTGGCGTGGCACAACCCTATCACGAGGTTGTGCTGGATCCGTTCCAGCACTTCAGGCAGCTGAAGAGCTGCAAGTTGATGCCTCGGAATAGGTCCCAGACTTCTTGCAACTGTATGCTGATTATTTCAGGCTCTTAAATGACCAACTCCAGAGGACTGCTGAAGATTTACAGTACCGATTATCCCTCAAGAAAGATGAACTGAATTCAGCTCAAGAAGAAATTATAAAGCTAGAGGAGAAAATAGGTAATCACTAGTTGGTTTTATGCTTATTTCCTTTTTTAAAGTAGAAAGTACTTATTCTTTTCTTTATAGATAGGTTAAACCAGAGAAGCACTTCACAGGATGAAGCAGTCAACGCACTTAGAAGTACTATTAGTGTTTTGGACAAAGAAAAGGACAGTCTTCAAGAAACAGTAGATGAAAAAACAGAAAGAATTGCATGCTTAGATGACAACTTAGCTAACAAGGTATGTGCAGTAGAAGTCCTACTTTACAGTCAGCTTGGGGATTTTTAAAGCAGTTACATTCCCGGGGGTTATTTTGACTTGATGCCTAAGCCTGTGCAGTGCTGTAGGCATCACATGAACTATGTTTGGACATAGCCAATCCTAAGAGTCATTTGTCAACTCAACAGCATTTTTATTATGATTGTTAGTGTCTTCCCTAAACACTCCAAATAAATAAGTATTTTCTGCATTTTGCACTTGGAGCTATTTATTATGATAAAAGCCTCTAGCCTGAGGTGGCAGTATCTGTAGCTGACTTCCATTGTTTTTTTGATTACGAGACAACTGTTTCTCAATGAAAAAAGAAGCATGTAAATTTGAATGTGCAAAGATGCGCTGATACTTACTGGTTAAGGGTTAAAATAAAGGTTTCAACATAAAGTTATTCAACTTAAAGTATCCTGTTATGTTGCAATATATTAATACCTAATCCAACTTTTGCTTTTATTGTCATAGGAGAAAACAATTACTCATTTACGTCTAACTCTCTCTGAGCTGGAATCCTCAACAGAGTAAGTTAAGTATAGAATGCTTTTTTCAGGGGTTTCCTTTTCTCTGCTGGTTTTAAAATGAAAGCAGATGGCTATTTTAGTTATTTTGGCAAAACAGCATTCTGTTGAAATCAAGTAAAGGAGTGTAGTATGAGAAAGACAGACATTCATCCCTGCAATTATATTGCAGGATGCTATAATGCTATTAAGACAGCCATTAGCAATTGTTTGTCGGTTTTCTTAAATTGGTAATATTTCTTAATTCTCAGTTGAGAAGTAAATTTTTATCTGAGTACTCCACCAGATATGACTAGATTTACCCAGGTAAAACTCAGAGCTGAATTCTTCATTACTGGCATGCTAATTCTTCCATCTTAAGCTACCAGTACACTTTTGATTAAAATATATTCATGTAGTTTTTAGCTTGCATTCATCTGATCTTTTATTCTTGCTTCTCTTTAAGCCTGACTTTTAAAACTATAGCTTTTTAAAAGGAAATATTTAAGCACCAATATTTAAACCGTTGAAGAATGGTGTAACAGTACATTTGGTACATTGTTGTCTTTGAAGTGAAAGGTATCTGTCCTCTTCCTTTATTGTTTATAAAATACGCAGTAGCTAACATACTGTAACTGCTGCCAAACACAGCAAAACAGTATCTGCAAGTGCTGTTGGGGTAATAAGACATGTCTTACCAGATCCATCTTCAAGGCCAAAGAGGCGTTCCATTTTATTTGCACAGATTAACATTTTACTTCCTTAGCTGATGTAGCTGTTTAGACTCAGTTGTTGTCCTTCAGAGAGCAAGAATTTACTTTTTTTTTTAAATTAAAAAAAAAGCCTTTTTATATCCAAAATCCACATCTGGTCATTTTCAGCAGTATGTAGTATAGTATAAGGGGCAACTTAAGTAATATTTTTCACTTGATAGCCATATAAAGGACATGCTGAGCAACAGAGACCGTGAGATATCTAGCTTGCGCCGCCAGCTTGATACATCCCATGTAGAGCTGGCAGAAACAGGGAGAATAAAGGAAATGGCTCTGAAAGAAAACAGGCGATTGCAAGATGACCTTGCTACGATGGCCAGAGAAAACCAGGTATGATGGCAGTATGTAATACTGAAGTACTAAAGTATTTATTGCTTGCTTACATACTGTGATACAGCAAAGCCATTGTATCCTCTGTTTGGTAGATTTAATTATTGGTATTTTTTTGTGCACTGGGATATTACAAGTGACTGGGCAGAAACTGTAAAAAAAAAAAAAGAAATTGCTTCAGATACTTAAGCATCGTCAATACAGTGAGGGGGGAACAGATAAGCTTTTAGTTTAGTCACCCTTCCCCAGATTAAAAAAGAAATCTAAATAATTATGGCCTATACCTATTTTATATTATAATGAAATTATGTTAATTAGTTATATTACTTGCTAGTTGGTATTTAAGTGACAAAAACTGGATTCTGTTATCTGTGGAATAGGGATTGTTGAAAGAGAGCAAGAAACCACAAAAGCAGATCCCAGGTTATGAGGTGAAAGGGAGGGGGAGGAGATTGTGAACACACCTGAATTTGTTCTGGTGCATTATGACTCATTAGTTTCATCCCTGTAGTTTCCATGAATCATTGGATGTACTGAGTGAGGTATGACACATTTTGAGATGAGAATGTGTTCTGTCCCGGTTAGAAGGCAGAATTGTGTTCCACCTCCCTTATCCCTCAGTTTCCCAGATAGAGAGGTAAATAAGGAAGGCAGGGGTAATGAAAACCTTGCACCAAATTGAAAATTAACAAAATGAAATATATTATTTAACAGGGAACAGAAAGGAAGAAGGGAAGGGGTTTAACAGGGTACAGAAAGGAAGAAGGGTAGGGGTTTAACAGAAAAGGGGGGGTTGTAGGAACAACAAGGTAAGGAAGATTAAACTTCCAAATATACAAAACCCAAATGCTATGCTGAGGCTCCCCGGTGCTGGATCTCGCTGGATTGAGGTGGATTGAAGCTGGTTGCACAATCCTTGGACGTGGATGGAGGCAGGGAAGAGTCTGTAGATCAGGCCCAGGTCTCCAAGATGGCCACGGCCACGTGTAGCACAGGGAGCAGCAGAGCAGCGTGTGCCCAGGTATAAGGTCAAAGGAGCAAGAGCAAGAGAGCAAGAGGAAGAGCAAGAGAGCAAGAGGAAGAGGCGTGCCTTTCTCACCCCTTTTATAGACTTTGGAAGGAAGTCCCAAAGACAGGAAAAAGGGGAGTGGGAATAGGACAGGTGTACGCCCCTTTCATTCAGGTTTGTACCTGGTTTAGGGTTTCAGATCTCCACGCACCAGGGGCAGCAGGTTTCAAACCATTACAGAATGTATTTGAGCGTATGTTTTAATGCTTGTGTTCTGTGGGCCCTGGTAATGGTGGCTGTGAAGGGCTGTTGGCAGGTTTTTAATTTCCAGTCCTGGCAAGGTTAGTTCCCATTCATGTGCATTGTTCTACAGGAACTTTGCTTTCACTGATGAATTGGGAAAGATTGATGTTGGGGGAGAAAATAGAAGAGGGCTTAAAAGCTACAAGGCATAAGTAGTTGGGAGATTCAGTGAATTTAACTGGATAATCATTGTTATTATTTTTGTGGCATCTTCATCTTGAGATGTTCTCCAGGGGTCTGCTAATTAAACCAACCACTGGCATGTAAGGCTTGTTCTTTCCATTGCATAAGGGGCTTATATAGCACATGTCTATTTCACAGTCATAGAATCGTTTTCGTTGGAAAAGACCTCTAAGATCGAGTCCAACCATAAATCCTACTCTACCAAATCCACTTCCTAAGCTATATGCCTAAGCACCACATCTATGTGGCTTTTAAACACATCCGGTGATGGTGACTCAAGCACCTACCTGGGCAGCACGTTCCGATGCCCAACAACCCTTTCAGTGAAGAGACTTTTCCTGTCGTCCAGTCAAAACCTCCCCGGGAGCAGCTTGAGGACATTTCCTCTGTTCTGTCATTAGTTACTTGTGAGAATTATTTGCACTCTTCCCAGTCATCGTTGCTCCATCTCTCCTTCCTTGGAATTCTCTGGGTCTAGGAGCCATGGCTTGGAGACCCTGAAGTGCCTTCAGTCTTGTTAATCCCTCACATAGTTTGAGGAACAATAAGTTGGGTTTGTACACCAGCTGGTTACTGATAAATTATTCTTTTGTTAGAAAGTTGACTTTTTAGCAACACAAGATTTGCCTTCACTCGGGGATAGGGAATTGTGAGGCTAGAAAAATCCCAGCTGCCAAATACCTGTGTGTTGAATTTTCCAAAGATCAATAGGGTGTGTCATCAGGGAAGCTGCAGATCATATGAACGGGTGTGATGTGTGATAGCCATTTTTTTTTGTGATTATTCTTGCCAGGAAACCTAAGTGTGTCTGAGGTAATAGGGGATATTTCTGAACCCTACAAATTCCAAAGGACTTTCACTAAATCACTTAGAAGTAAAATGGAATAAAATCGAGGGCACATGCAATTTCTTTGATTTAGTGTGATACAGTAATCTATGCTGATTAATTTACTCTAATGCATTGTCTTGCCTCTGTGCAATCTCTTTAGGTTATCAATACTGAGCTTGAAGATGCAATACGTGAAAAAGAGGAAATGAAAACCAGGGTTCACAATTATATAACTGAAGTTTCCAGATTTGAGACCTTGATGGCTTCAAAGGTAGAAGTATAGTCTGTAGGCAGTCGTTACTGTGTTCAGTAAATCTATGGATTTTAGAGTATAGCACGTGTTCATTGAGAAATGTATGGTTTGGATCCTGCTGTCCTTGTCTGTCTGACTTCTTCCTATTATTTTTTTTCCTTCTTTCCTCTGCAGTATTCCAAGCTAGTAGTGGGTTCATATGAAGCCTTAGATCTGAAGCACTGATAAATTTTGGCACATGACAATTCCATTGATTCTGTCAGTTGGCCCTAACACCAGAGAATGACAAAAAAAAAATGTTTATTTTGATTTTTGAGTTTTGGCAAGGCAACTAGTAAGATACCTGGTACAATTTCATGATCATAGGCAACAAGAAACTTATATGATGGGGTTTACTATTTTACACCTTTTAAAAGGAGAAATTCTATATGTGGTTCTGCAGGGAAGTGTAAAAATAGCACATGGGAATGTTTCCTCTATGAATGATAAGAGTTCAGCATTTTTGCTGTACTGAAAAAACAGTGCTTTTGTTCAACGGATCTTATCCTCATACTTGGATTCAGAAGTGTGATGTGTGTGAATTAAAATTTAGAATGTTTAAAACAATTTCTGTCAAGACAACATGCATGAGCAAATGGATTATGTAACTGAATAAGAAAGAGTGAGTTTTGATCTGACTTTGACTTGCATGTCTAGATGAATGCATATAAATTCAACCCGTTTTTACAAGTAGAAACTGAAGTTGAGAGGAGAAAAGGGTTAGTAGTGTGGTAGTTTAGAACTTAGGTCAGGCACAAAGAAGCTGTAGAATTATACAGCCAGTGACCATTTGTGAAAGGCTGGGTTCAGGGATTTCTCTGGTGTTACAGCTGCACATTGCCTGTGGAGACCAGGGTTTATTTTCTGTACAGTTTTCACCTGCTTAATCATGAGTTTCTGTTTCCTGATGTCCCACCTCATTCTGTGTGTACCTTCCAAGTTCTGCACACAACTTGGAGGGAATTTCAAACCTAGCAACCTTCCTTACTAGACACATCTGATTCACACTAGCAAAAGCTTGTCCTGCTGTGCATTACAGGAACAGAGGAAGAAGGGAATGGAGCTAAATAGGAAAAATTAATCACTGCCGTAGAATAGGCACTGGAAGTTGGGACAAATCAAAATTCAGAAGCTATACTTATTCTACCACTGCATAACTTGTAAGCACAGAAGCTTGTGGGTTTGTACTTTTGTGACAGACTGGAGAGAGATGTATATGCCCAAAGTGGTTATCAGTCTTTAAGGCGCTGCTGTAATACCAATATTCGTAAGAGCACCGTAAGTAAGAGAGCTGAAAATGGACTTGTGCTGGAATTCCTTGGGAAGGACAGAACTAGGATCAGTACACCTCAGCACTGTGAGAATGCAGAGAGATGAGAAGTAACCCCTCCCCTGGGAGCCTTGAAACTCATTAACAGCTGCAAAACGTTAATACTTCCATGTAACAAAATTGAATGCTATCACTATTCATTTACTGTTTGGATTTGCAAAAGGGATGATGCACTTTAGGTGCCACATGGTGGGAGTAAGAAAATGGAGAAAGATCTACTTTTTTTTTCTGAAAAAAAACCAAAGATATTGTAGGCAGTAAGCATGAAATACTTCCAAGTTGCTTGATCTTATGTTGGTCATTGCAGAATGATTTACTGTTTCATCTAGGAAAAAGAAAACCAAGAATTGTTAGAGAAGTTCCGAATGCTCCACACGCAAGCTGAGGACTGGGAAATGAAGGCTCATCAAGCTGAAGGAGAAAGCAGCTCAATAAGACTTGAGCTCCTTTCTGTAGATACGGATCGGAGGCATCTTCGAGAGAGAGTAGAACTTCTGGAAAAAGAGATTCAAGGGGTAATAACTTGTGTAATGAAACTCTGTCAAGGAAAGTGGGACACGTTCAAGGGTATTTTAATAAAAGCCTATCTAAAGACTATCTTTAATACTTTAATGGAAAATAATTCCTGTATCTGTACATTTCCAGTGTGGACACTGAGTTTTAGGAATGGTAACTGGTTTGGGTTAGATGTGCTTTCCTGCTCCCCCGAAGTTAGAATCACAGCTTATAATTTAATACTTGTGGATCTCTTCTGTTGGGTGATCATTGCTGTTATGTTCTCTGTAACAACCTTTGGTTTAATGGCTTCAAAATATCTGCATATTTTGCATATTCATGAAGATTTTTATCAGCTAGTTTTATGAGTATTTTGTAAGCTTAGTTCTTTCATGTCTTTGAAGCTTTGAATGAAGTATTTGAAGCATTTGTGGCTGGAGTAAAGGAGACAAACTGGTGGTAGTAGTAGTCCAAATACAGAATCGTGATTCCATAGAAAATAATATTTATATTTTAGAAGCAATAACTTCATGCACATCAAGGGAGTTTTAGACAAGAATAGTTGTGGATTCACCCTATTTTGCCTCGTGTTTCCAATTAGCCAAAAAGAGTTGGAGACTTTAATACTGTAATATGAGTAAAAAATGGGTTGTGTTTCAGGCATCTTAAGCTTTTAATTCTCTTCTGGATCCAGCCTCATTCCACTCTTGTATAGAACTTGTATAGTTCTTCAAGACAGCAATTAAAAACTGCAGAGATGGTTTCTTAGCTGGGATTTAGGGAGACAAGAGGAGAGGAATGTAATATCAATTTATAGGGAAAGTTATTTTTGAAGGGAAAAATAAGTATTAAAAAACCACCATGATCCAATAGTGAACTGCTAACTCTACATTGAACACTGATGGGGTATCTGTATTTGTCTTTGTTTAGCATATCGTTGCACATCAAGCGTATGAATCTCAGATCTCCTCCATTACAAAAAATATGGCCAAGTTGGAAGAGGATATTAAGCGTGAAAATCAGGATAAGTCTTCTGTGTTGGCGGACCTAGCTTCTGTGAGGGAACTCTGTGTGAAACTTGAGTCTAACAAAGAACTTCTGTCTCAAAAGCTGACATCCAAAAGCATGGATTATGAAAGGGTAAGCAGCAAAGGAAAACTTAATTTGCTATAATAAATTATCTTCCTTTGCTCTGATTTTTTTTTTAAATAAAAGAGTCAATTATTCCTGAGAGCAAGCTAAGTTAATTTACATCGCTGGGTTTGCATTCAGAGATAAATTACAAATTTTGTAGTACACAGACCTAGTTCTGTGGGGGTTTTACAGAAAGAGGGGGTATCATTCATTATCCGTACAGAAATATGGCAGCAGTAGCTTTTCTATTCCAGAGAGACAAATTTTGAAACTTCCAGTCCTTTCAGGTTTTAGAGCAGCTTTTCACGAAAGAGAGCTCTGTGCATGTATTAATAATGTATAAATTTGTGCCCTAGGTTCTAGGTGAATTAGAAGATATCAAATCAGAAGCAGAGTTACTGAAAAAGCAGTTATCCAGTGAGAGAATTACGGTTCAGAATCTTGAAACGTTGCTGGCTGCCAGTAGAGACAAAGAGTTCCAGAATCATTTAACATCCCATGAGAAAGATTCGGAAATTCAGTTACTGAAAGACAAGCTAACGCTCGCCGAGAGCAAACTGTAAGTTTAGGAAGTGTGTGTCTCTGTGTTCTGTGGTTTACAAAGGAGCTTCTTTTCTGTGTGACAGCACTTACAAAGTCAAATTCCTGATCTTCAGTATGGCTGAGCAGTTTTTTGCAGGAACGTCTTTATGGACTTTTGGGGTGTCATTTATTTAAAGTTTCTTTGCAGATCTTTCCTATCGCTTTCATTGATACGCATTCTGGTGGACACCAATATAGTACAAGCAGTAAATTTGAACAGGAGTGCCACAGGAAAGCTGCTCTGAAAGGAAGGAACGCCCTGCTGAGTTTTTACAGTCCTGAGAATAAGCTCAATAAATTACGAGAATAATCTTAAGAATAGTCCAGTTCCTCTCTGGATTTGTCCCTGGCCTGACTCCAGAAAGTTTGCTTGACTTCCTTTGCTGGTGGTGACTCCTCCTCACACCAGTCAGGCACAGGAGGTGACACCTTCCCTGAAGTTCAGCTCTCTGATAGAACTCTGCCATCTTTTTAGTGCAATCACTAAAATCCTTTCCTTCTGAGCCTCTTAGTGAACCTCCTAGTACCTCATGGTGAGGTAGCTGATGTGCTGCAGACATCATTTCCACTACAGAAGGAGCCAACCCATGATATTTTCCAAGTTTTCTCAGCTGTTGAGTACGTCTATAAATATACGTATGCATTGCGTCCTGATTTGGATATTTAACATTTGCGTCAGAGTGTATTAATTCTCAAAGTATGTAAGCATCTCTCAGAGGTACTAATTTTCTTATCTGCAGTAATCGAATTCTGCTCTGCTTTTTAAGCAAAATGTTGTGGTTTTATATGACTTTGAAGAGTTTAAACTATGAGTTTAATAATTAAGAGAACACAAATTTTCTTAGTCTTGAACTATGTTTTATATTCTTATATTAGAGAGTATTCTGAAGTCCTAACTCCTTTAGAATGTGGATTGATCAAGCATCTCAAAGCAAGCTAAGTAAATTTTTAACATGTGCACTGCTCACAAAAAAAAAAGACTGTATCCATGGTAAATGTGAATTGCTTACCTACTGAAGATGCCTGTTACGCTTTGATTAAAGTAAGAATCACATAATAAATAATGGGGTCCTAGTGCTTTAGAAAAGCAAAATTACTTTTTCTGCTCATAATAACTGTTAAGGATAAAGTCCTGTATCATTGATTGTTCCTTTGTTGATTGTTCCAGAACTGAACCTGACACCCACATTGAATGTAGACACCATTTTCCATTCTAGCTAGCTGCAACTTCTATGCTGTGCATCTGCCTAGAGTAGAAATAACTTTTCAACAGTCTTATAGAAGAAAGAGTTATCTGTCTGGAAGAATTAAATTAAGGGGGGGATATTTTGTTTTTTTTTCAAAAGGAGTGGGGTATTTATTTAATTTTTTTTTCCCGTTATATGGGGTAGGGAATTTGAATTTTCTATGAAAAATGTCATCATGACATGATAGCTCTTCTGGTGATACATTAGCCAATGACTGTAGTGGTATCCCAGCTTTAAACAGCAAGAAGGAGTAGCAGCAGGTGAGCGTAGGTGGTGGTGAAGAATATAGTCAAAGCAGAATTTCAGCAAAAGAACAAACAGATACACCCACTTAGTAAACACAGGGGTAGGAAGAGAAAAGAAACACACAAAAGGTAAAATTAGGACTGATAATACTGCCTTATGAGATATAGAATGTAGTATACCTAAGCAACTAAAAGTTCTCTGTAACACAGTGACACAGACAAGCAAGAGAAATGCTTTTGGTTGAGCTATGTAAAGGCTACAACTTGGTGGTGACAGTGTCCCACCTGAAGTAGCCATATCTCAGTGAATCTGTAGGTGATGGCACTGTCATTGCCCTCTGCAGCTCATTGCTTCATGTTTTAGAACTGTTGAATTGTTTAGGGCAAGAGAGTTAGTTGCATACAAAGAACATAAACTGATGGGATTGTCCTGACTATGAAATGAAATGGGAAAGTTACAAAAAAAAGATATTTCCATTTAGAATCATAGAATTATAGAATC